GAGGAAAAGCATTAGCTGATGCACTTTGCAAGAACACTGCCTTAACGTCTTTAAATTTGAATTCGAATAATCTTGGATCAGAAGGAGGAAAAGCATTAGCTGATGCTCTTTGCAAGAACACTGCCTTAACGTCTTTAGATTTAGGTTGGAATCATCTTGGATCAGAAATAGGAAAAGCATTAGCCGATGCACTTTACAAGAACACTACCTTAACGTCTTTGGATCTTCGATCGAATAACCTTGGAACAGATGGTGGAAAAGCATTAGCTGATGCACTTTGCAAGAACACTACCTTAATGTCTTTGGATCTTCGATCGAATAATCTTGGATCAGAAGGAGGAAAAACATTAGCAGATGCACTTTGCAAGAACACTACCTTAACGTCTATAAATCTTTACTATAATATACTTGGATCAGACGTCGGAAAAGCATTAGCTGATGCACTTTGCAAAAATACCACCTTAACGTCTTTAAACATGAATTCGAATAATCTTGGATCAGAAGGAGGAAAAGCATTAGCTGATGCACTTTGCAAGAACACTACCTTAACGTCTTTAAATTTGAATTCGAATAATCTTGGATTAGGAGGAGGAAAAGCATTAGCTGATGCTCTTTGCAAGAACACTACCTTAACGTTTTTGGATCTTCGATTGAATAATCTTGGATCAGAAGGAGGAAAAGCATTAGCTGATGCACTTTGCAAGAACACTACCTTAACGTCTTTAGATTTAGGTTGGAATCATCTTGGATCAGAAATAGGAAAAGCATTAGCTGATGTACTTTACAAGAACACTACCTTAATGTCTTTGGATCTTCGATCGAATAATCTTGGATCAGAAGGAGGAAAAACATTAGCTGATGCTCTTTGCATAAACACTACCTTAGCGTCTTTAGATTTAGGTTGGAATAATCTTGGATCTGAAGCAGGAAAAGCATTAGCTGATGCACTTTGCAAGAATAATACCTTAACGTCTTTAAATCTTGAATCGAATAATATTGGATCAGAAGGTGGAAAGGCATTAGCTAATGCACTTTGCAAGAACACTACATTAACGTCTTTAAATCTTAAAGATAACAAACTTGGATCAGAAGGAGGAAAAGCATTAGCTGATGCACTTTGTAAGAACACTACATTAACGTCTTTAGTTCTTTGGATTAATAAACTTGGATCAGACGTCGGAAAAGCATTAGCTGATGCTCTTTGTAAAAACAATACATTAACGTCTTTGGATCTTCGATCGAATAACCTTGGATCAGAAGGAGGAAAAGCATTAGCTGATGCACTTTGCAAGAACACTACCTTAACGTCTTTAAATCTTTACTATAATAACCTTGGATCAGACGGTGGAAAAGCATTAGCTGATGCACTTTACAAGAACTCCACGCTGACTTTTTTATCTCTTGGTTCCAATAATCTTGGACCAGAAGGAGAAAAAGCACTGGAGGATGTACTTTGCAAGAACACTACCTTAACGTCTTTATACGATAACAACATTGGTTTTACTAGTTTTACTATAAAATCTAATAATCCAAATATTAAAATATATCAAGATTAGTATTAGATTTAAATGTAAACTTTATTGTAAATATGTAAATTATATAAGTTATAATAGTATTAAAATGAATAAAATTTAATTAAGTTTCAGTTAACGTGTTTTCGTCGAAGGGAGGGAGACTATATCCAAACTAGATACTGTAATTTGATAAATTTAAAATTTAAGTATATATTAAATTTTGATAATATAAATAATTTTAATTAAAATAATTTATAAATATAAATACATTTCGAACTTATTATTTTATATGAAATAATCTAGTTGTAAACTCGAATTTTGGCGTGATAAACTCGAATTTTCATGTGATAAACTCGAATTTTGGCGTGATAAACTCGAATTTTCATGTTAATTATCATTAGAGTAAGGGTTGGGTGCTTAGTTTATACGTAGTAAAATTTCGCAAAGAATTTTTTTAATTTGAACACAAAAGGTGGTTCTATAGATGAAATTTTGGGCTGTTGCGAATTTTTAAAAATTTTCAATGTTTTCTTCGTTTTCGGATTACACAGTGTAATCTTAAAACGGCGAGTCAGTCGCTAATCGGTCGGATCTCTCGTGTAACCTTTAGGGTTGGTAAATTGGGTCGAAAGAGGCGTGTTAGATTTGTCGAGTGGTTTGCCTGAAAATGGTTGGGTCTATTGGTACAGGATGTTTCGGGTTTAAGTGGGTTAAATGTACTAGTGTACTTTTACAGAGTCTCAAGTTATGTAACAACGATTGTATTTAATAAAGTTATTCGTATAGTATTATTTGAAAAGTAGTTTTATTATGGGTAATCATGTATTATATGTGTTATATATTGATTGTCAAGGGGGAGTTCTTCTTCCCAAAGGGCCTTTTCGCCTTTATTTATAATTAAAATCTTCTATGTACATTATGCGATGGATACGACTGATATCACTGATACTATTAATCAGTCGTATCCTACTGATATTTCCCTCCACTCGATCGCTGCTATTGACACGGGCGAAACGGCGAGTCAGTCGCTTGACAAACGGATACGTCGTGTAACCTACGAACGGCTTAGTCGATAAGAGGCGGTTAGATTTGGCGAGTGGTATGTTTTGATCGTAGGTATTATATTAAAATGAAAGCAAGGTTTTATTATTAGGGGACAGAAGTTTTATGTGAATCACGAACCACGAACGTTTCTTCGTAGGGCTTGAAGCCTTTATTATATACTTTCATTTACATAAGGCACGTTTTACATTCTATTCGTGATATAGCACTTATGTTCGTTATCTCATATATACTAATTATAATGTTTATGCTTATTATACTGATTATAATGTTCATACTGATTATTTTACTTATACCCTTGATCCCGCTGATTCTCCTTATCCCACTGATATCAATTATCAACTCGACACTAAGTATACAACGAATACAGTGTATACTGCCGGTAAACCCATTTAAAGTAGGTGATCGACATAGCCGTTAGTCCATTACTACGCCACACCAATCACCTGCTTCAACGAGCTTCCGGCGTTACCGTCCTACCGCTCACACTATCCACCACATTCGACGTATACGTCACATGCGACTGACTCCTTCCCTAACTAGGTAATATCCCACCCCGAACGGCCAGGGTCCCGTGATGTAATTTGCCACGTTAGGGCATAAAAAGTTTTCAACAGGACAAACTGTCGTTTAATCGTATAAAATTCTTCAGTTGCACCAACATAAATAATTTTAAAACTATGTTATCCAATATTTAAATTTTGGGTTATATAAGTTGTTGGGATTTTTAATTACAGTTAAATATTGATTATATTTATTTTGTTCCATTGAACAGCGATTATTTTTCCTTTGATGAATAAAAGCTTTTAATATTCGACAAAGGTTTCACACGTCAAAAGGTCGTAACTTTCCATTTTAAGAATTAATAAAAAAAAAGTTGTACGTACGTGTTTATCGATAAAGTTAAATAATTCTGGGTTTCTATTAAATTTTGGGATCAAGTGATGACCTATGAGGTGTGACTAGAGATGGGACACTGCGCAGCCTGCGCAATATTTCACTGCAGTGCAATTTCATAATTCTGGCCAGCTTTATAATCCAGGTTTGAATTACCAATCGGGATCGGCCCGAAAGAAAAACGGATCTGCATCACCTGATTAATAGAATCCATCGTTCATAATTCTGGTCAAACTTGCAGATCATTTGACCACATTTAAAGTTGTTTTGTTCTAGATCTGGCCAAATGATCTGCAAATTTGACCAGAAGTATTAATTCACCGATATGCAGAAAAAAAGTAAAAAAACGCAAAACAACAAAAACTGACGTTTAAACTAACCTTGGAGCACTAATAAAAAATGATGGGAGCCCAACTTTACACATATTAAGTAGATGTTTTATATATATAAACGCGAAACCTAATGGTAAAGTCTCTAGGGACTGAGGCTGTGCAGCCTGCGCAGTAGATTCAAAAAAACCTCGATTTTCCCATCTCTAGGTGTGACAAATAAACACCGACTGATTTATTTATAGGTGGTGTTTATTTGTCACATAAACGATTGGTCACACCCGATCCCGATGTTGCACCGTCGTAGGAATGACAAATAATTGCATGACAAATAAGCACTAACTAATTTACTTATATATGATAAAGTAGTGATACATATTTGTCACTCTATAATTAGTCACACCTTATGCTTAAATTCCGTAGCGTTTCATTAAAACATGACCTGGGTTTCTTCTGGACAAGGGTAGAACCGCCATCAAAAAAAGGATTAAGTCAAATTTCGTTTTTTTAGATTAAGGTTTGGATTTTGCCATTAGATTGGTCTTGAAACTTTTTAGGATGGTGATTTTACCCCAGTTTTACTTCTGAATCGGTGAAAATTTATGAATGACCTAGGTCAATTCGGAATCGACCTAAATTGTGAAATGACTCTGAACATATAATCATCTAATTATTTTTGAGTTGAACTAGATAAATTGATATCTAACAAATGCAAATTATTTATCACGGCCGTCCATTATCATTATCACCTGGTATTCGAATAATTTTATCATCTTTATCATCTTTGTCTTTATATTTTTTATTTTTTTTTTACATTTTCTATAAAATACAAATGCCAATGCACCTGCAATGATAACAAGTATGACGGCAATAATAACCACAATAATTCCTATATCTACATCAATGATTTTACCATTAGATGATGTGGGTGACGTAGCAGATGTTGTGTCGTTGGTAGGGACGTTAAGTAGTTTAACCACCTGGTTAAAAACGTGATATATTCAATATAACTAGCTAGTTTAACTAACTAGTCAGTACACTAAAAACCGTGGTTTAATATAAATTCTGACCATTAGTCAGACTACTTAACATCCCTAGTCGTTGAGTTTACTGACCATACATTGGTTTGTATATTAAGAGCATATATATTATAATTGAGACTATTAATAATAGTATTAATTAAAGATAAAAGTATTTGTTATAAAGTTCTATATAAATTCAATTGAATGTTACCGAGTGTATGAGTTCTATTTGTTGCTGCTACATGACCAGTTAAGTATTGTGGAGCATCCGAGCTAATTTCATTAGACGTCCACGTATATGGTGAAGTATTCGTATTCAATTTTGCCGTTGTTGGAATAGGTGAATTTTTAATACCATAAATTATAATAGTGCCATCTTGTGCTGCGAGTTTGTAAATAAAAAAAGTTAGATTTGGTATTAAAAACGAAAAAAAAATAAAATAAATCATGGAATACCTAATAATAACAATAACAATTAGATAATTTTTTTGGACCATTTAATTAAATTATTGAATGATGTGTACCATCGTTGACCAGCTTCCAGATATTGTATTATAAATCAGGATCTGATTACATTAACAAAACAGATAGACATTACTAATAAAATTAAAAAAGTGTATCATTTACAAACGAGCACTCAGTCTACAATGTTTTATCATATATCAGTTCATGTTAACCAAGAGTTCATTGGCGGTTCAATTGACTAACAAGTCATTACCGTTAACTTTCATATTCAGCATTAAAAAGAGTTATGATATATAGTCACCTAACCGTAATCTTTAAAGAGATGCTAAATTATATAGAAACCTTATGTTATTGCTTGCTGATGATAAAATAATCCTTTAAATAATGATTCATATCAATGAACTAAACTGTCTGTACATTTATTTGGTGAAATAATACGTCGGCATAGTATGTCACCCAATAAAGTACATATACGAATAAAATCAACACCCCAATATAAAGAATTTCTCTACTAGATAAAAATATTGAAACAATATTAAAACGAGTTGTCGGAACATTCACGGTTGAACCAACAGACCAAGAATAAATGGTAGTGTCAAAATAGTTAATGTCATTAAAAGAAGTGTTTGCAGTAACGTTTGTTCCTCCAAAATACCAAATCATTCCATTTTTATCAATAACAGCAGTTGCTTGGGTTCTACTTTGAGGTACAATTCCATTTGCATCCGTTGGATACAATTGATTATTAGATTTATTATAAGCATAAACTGTAGAATAATTAATTAAAAATGCAGTATTGTTGCCATTAAATACTGCATTAGCAGCTGAGACACTAGTAGGTATATCAGTCAAAAGATACCACGGGTTTGGTGTACCAATGAGTGACATATTAAGATATATTGCTTGGGTAGTCCCTGTTTATATAAAAAAAAATAATAGTATGCGACAAAAAACCGAAAATATAGATGCTAGCCAAATCATCCGAATCACTGAATGCTAACCTATTATTCCGAAAGGGTCACCACCAAAGACATATAGCTTGTTATTAATCGTGCCAGAACACGACCAGCCGGTGATATAGGTATTGCACTATTAGATGTAGTAATGAACAAGGTAAAGATAATTACTAAATATAATAAACCAATTTTCACGAAATATATTCATTTTGAATCTAGTTTTTGTATTTGAAATTAGGACGAGTGTTCAATTTATTTATTTTAAACTTGTCATGCAAAAAAATTCTTATTTGTTTTACGTACATATGTATTTGCTTTGTACTAGATGTTTGAACCGATTTATTATTTTATTCAAATTAGCTCACTCAGATTAGACTAATTTCTTATAGTATCTGTAACTATGACATATACTGTATCTTGTAACCTAATTACACAGAGTAAAAAATATTATAATGAATGTCAGTTAAATACTCTTATTCACTTATAATAGATATGTGTAAATATTTAATATGAAATAAAAAATTTTATAATAAAAAGACTTCGCTTAAATTCATTCGTAACAGCTCTTACCGTATTCCTCAGAAAATAAACAACCTTTAATTATTTAAGTGCTTGTTTTTTGGGTTCGTATTATTTCATCAATTATTTTATTGACATAACAATAATTTCTATTCTGTAACGTTTGTTAAACGACTGACAATTGCAACGAGCTTTATTCATTTTATTTGTAAGCATCTGTTCTTGGATTATCAAACTTTCTTTTTTGCTTCTAACACATTTCCTATGCTATTTGTTTTGAATAAGATCGTTAGTACTCTTGTAATTCAAAAAAGAATATGATGTCAATAATATTGTATATTTGCTTTTGATAATGATAATCATAATACATAGTAAATATATTTTTTAACCGGTAACTATTTCTTTATTAAAAGTCAGTTACATTTAAATCAAGATGTTGGTATCCAAACGTTTGACTCAATGTAGGCTTAATTGAGCCTAAATTTAGGTATTTTGCTTCCTTAGCTCCAGTAATTTACATTTAATAATAGACAAAAACTGAAGAACCTGATCCAAAACATTAAACTTGTTTGTAATACTTTAAGTCAACAAGTTAGAAACCAGCTTATGATTATAACGCAGAAATAAAAAAATATAAATTAAATAAAAATAAGATTTAGACAAGCACGTAGTCATCTACTAAGTGGTCGTCATCAACTACAGTTTTCAACTAGAAAGAAATACACTGGACTTTTCTATTTCATATTTTAAGGCACCTTGAATATTAACACTACCGGTAACTTCAACTAAGACACTTTTTCCTTCTACGCCAAAATATGTTCCTTCGAAGCCAGAATCTCTTAAGAAACATAATACAGCATTGATATCTACTTGCTCCATTGTTGCTATAGATCCATCTTTCCTTAGACGATCTGAAAATCCTTTAATTTTTGCTGTTGCAGTAAATTTAATATCCAAATTAACCTTATGCCAAATGATTTTGACCTTGACCTCTTCTTTATTTTGCATTTTACTTAAATATTTTCCAGAAACTTTAGTCTCATCTAATTGTACTTTTTTAGTAGCTTCTAAAGAAGTGTTTTTATTATCCCACTCAGTAATTTCAGGTAAATTCCCTCTTACACCAGCATATTCAGCATTTATATCAACATCAAGTTTATCTAAAAAAGCTATCTCCTTGCTTCTATTAAAAGACCAAGATGTGATATTTTGCATTTTTTCAGATAGATTAATTTCTATATTGCAAGTATTGCCACTATTTTTTGAGGCAAAAATAACAAAAGGAACTCTAGTTGTATAAAAATCTAAATCATTAATCTTTTTGTCGTATTTAAAGTTTCCAATCTCAGCTTTAAGTTTATAATCGGCAATTTCAAATTTCCACAACTGTCTTGAATAAAAATCTTCATCTGGTTTATTAAAATAAGATGAAAAGCGAACAGTTGAATATTGGCCCCAAGTATCCAAGTAACATTTATTCGAAGTGTTTTGTATTTGTACTTTTTCTGATTCTAAAATATTTTGATTTAAAAAAGACCATAATTGCCTTAAATAATAAGGGTTATCATGATGATTTTTTTTACTAATACGACATTCTGAATTATTTTCTCCTCCAAAAGTATCTAAATAATATCCATCACTGGAAATTTTATATTTTCCAGGGTATGACGTTTCTTCAAAAAACCATATTTGCCTTGAATAATTGTCATTTCGGTCATAAGTTTGCCAATTTAAATTAACATATGAACCATGATTTCCTCCTCCATTATCTAAATAGTGCCCATCATGTGTTATCTTACAAGGAATACCGGTAGTAATATTTAGATCTTTACCACCAGTAATGTGCACGTAATCATTAGGAATTAATGTATCCATTTTGTTAAGTACAGATGTAGTGAATCAATGGTTGTAAAATTGTGAGCAGACCCTACTTGTGGGTTAACGGTTGATAAAATATTTTCTGTAAATTTGTTTTTAAAGAGAGTTTATTATGCAAAATTCATATCATATAGTCAAACATAAAATACTATATAACGCTAATTTAGAAATGGCAGATAAAATGATCAATATTTGTGATTTAAATGTCTAAACGCCATATATAAATCAATAAAAATCGGTTGCTATGTTTATCACGCGAGAGGCACATCTCTAGTAAACAGGAAGAAACGTACTCGATCCCACACACGATGTGAACAATTAAAACTGAAATAAATAATTTTAGTTTTAATTGTTCGCACCGTGTGTGGGATTCACTTTGGATCGGGTACGTTTTCTCCTGTTTCTCTAGTAAGTAGTAGATCCAATTTTATCATTGTTTTGGGAACAATGACAAGGCAGTCCGGATCGGATCTGGATCATACAGTATATGGTAACTTCTTTCTGATTGGTCAATTACTTACAATTGTATTTACAGTTTAAAAAATTATGTAACGTTAAAACATCAATAAATTCAGATTTATTATTTTTTGGAAACAATGACAATTTAAGACATTATAGACTCTTACCCAACTAATATTTATTTTTGACAATAACGCAAATTTAATTTGAGCACACATGTACATAATTATGCTGTCATATACAATACTTTTTGATTAACGATCTAAATTTTACAATTATTTCCTTAAAGTTAGCCCTGAGAATTAGGGCTAGATAAAATAGAGCATCGGCCAGTAATAATAATTTAAACTTTGAACAATGAAATGTTCAAGAGTAAAAATCTTAACAATATAACAACGGCTTTATTTAAATATTTAGATAAATTTAATTTATACGAATAATGTTAATACATAAATACGTGCTACTAAAGAAAACAAGATTTCAAACTTTAATTTTCAAAGCTAGATTGATTTATTATAAGTTTAAAAGCCTGAAGTTTAATTTTCTTTTAATAGTACTCGAATACAACGAAAGGTCATCATTTTGTTTGTTGTTTATAAGCCATATGCTGTGCTTAATAAGCCACACGCAAAATATTTTTGATTCACCATCATAGCTCAGTATTAGAGGATTTGATCTTCGTTAGATTTGACTTTCTCAAGGGGTTTCAGCCTTACCAGAGGTTTCGTCATTTCGCCAAAGTTTCTCCAGTTTCAAATTTCACCATTTACTAAAAATAGTTTCACCTAACAGTATCATCGGTAAATTATAAATTTAATAACAGATAAAATGAAAACCTGGTTTGTGATTTATTTATAGCTTCAAATTAACGGTTTAAACAAAACCATGAGCATAACAAAAAATAATATATAAAATAATGAATAAACGAATAAAAAAGTAAAAAAAAACAAAGAAAATTTATAAAAAAATAAATTGATTGAACTTTTCTTGCTCTATTGCAATACCGACACCATATATTAGACAAGCACGTGGTCATCAACTATTTGGTCATCACCTGCAGGATTTAAACTGGGAAGAATAACATTGGACTTTTCTATTTCATATTTTAAGGCACCTTGAATATTAACATTACCAGTAATTTCAACTAAAACATTTTTTCCCTCTGTGCCAATAATTGTTCCATCGAAACCGGAATTTCTTAAGAAACTTAATGTAGCATTGGCATCTACTTGTTCCATCTTGGCCACAGATCCGTTTTTCCTTAGACGATCAGAAAATCCCATAATTTTTGCAGTTGCGGTAAATTGAACATCTAAATTAACCTTGTGCCAAATTATTTTAACTTCAACATCATCCTTTTTTTGAATTTCCACAGAATATTTTCCAGAAACATTAGTTTCATCTAATTTAACTTTTTTGGTAGTTTCTAAAGAAATGGTTTTATTATCCCAATTGATAATTTCAGGTAAATTTCCTTTAACTCCTGCATATTCTGCCTTAATATCAACATTAAGTTTATCTAAAAAAGCTATCTCCTTACTTTTGTTAAAAGACCAAGATGTGATATTTTGCATTTTTTCAGATAGGGTAATTCCTAACTTATTACTGCCAAGTGATTGATTTCTTGAAGTGAAAATACTAGAAGAAACTTTAGTTACATATGATTCTAAATCATTAATTTGTTCGTCGTATTTAAAATTTTCAATCTCAGCTTTGAGTTGATAATCAGCAATTTCAAATTTCCACAACTGTCTTGAATACCAACTTTCATTTGGTTGATTAAGATTAGAGGAAAAACGAACATTCGAATGTGCATTCCAATTATCCAAGTAACATCCATTCAAAATATTTTGTATTTGTACGTTTTTAGATTCAAATTCATATTCAGATTCACATTCAGATTCATTTTGATTTAAAAAAACCCATAACTGCCTTGAATAATAAGGACTATCACAATGGTTTTCATAACTCATACGACATGCAAATTCATGTTCCCCTCCAAAAGTATCTAAATATTTTCCATTGCTGGAAATTCTATATTCACCAAGATTTGTCGATTCTTCAATATACCATATTTGCCTTGAATACTTGGAATCATTTTGGTCATAATTATGCCCACATAAAGTAACATATGAGCCATAATCTGCACCCCCATTATCTAAATAATGACCTTCGTTTATTATCTTATAAGGAATACCTGTAATAATTTCCAAATCTTTACCACCGTTAATGTGTACAGAATTGTTAGGAATTAATGTATCCATTTTACAAAGTATAAAAATAGCAGGTTGACGATCGTAAAGTAGTGGGTAATGAGTAGCTGTAAATGTAGAGGGTTAACGGTTAGTATTTTTTGTGAATTCGCTTTTAAATGAATTTGTGTTACTCAAAATTTTACCACACTAGCCATACATAAAATAGTACGTAACACTGGTTTATGTGGTAAAACCGATAAATCCGGTTTTAGAACAATAACCGGACTTCATTAGATTGGAGCCGGTATTCCGGTTGTATTTTCTATGACCGAATAGATATATTTTAATATTAAAATTTAAAATTTTCTGAGTGCTTTTTTGTTACATAGCTTTTTTTTCAGAATTAGGTTAGGGTTTAGTGGTAGTTTATTAATAAAAGAGTACAGGTGAATTTTAGTAGGTATTATAGATTTAAACGGAGACCTCCAATCTCAGCTTCAGCTGCTACACTTATTGATTCGGACAATTTTTTTATTTATTCCTAAATTTATGAAACAGCAGCAAGTAATGTTAGCTAATTTTACGAAAAATGTCATAAGAAATTAAATATGTCAAAAGCTATGATTACATTTTGTGTAATAATTTTCTGACTTATTTGAGACTAATAGGAAATCTATATAGAGGGTCAATGACCGCTACTAGAGTTAGATTCCTTTTTGGTTCATTTAGTAGCTTTGTACAGATCTATTTTTGGCTTTGATCGCTATCGAATAATTGATCTTGTTCAACTATAATACTGTAGAAAGACACTTCTATCTTCCTTTCGTTTTACCCTTGCTTGGATAATAGTAAGACAAAAGTAAAATTACGTAAGCAGTCCTGTATTAAAGTTGTCATCGTGTTGAGAAGCTCTTCTAGGTCACGAAAGCAGTGAATTTTCTAGACATATGATTGATCTATCGGTTTGAGGTCTGACAGGTTATATCGATCATTACTGTTTGTGATCAATAAATCACAAGATCATATAGGATCTTTGCTATGAAAATGACCCTCCGAAGCTATGTTGATTTCATGAATGAAAAATTAAATTTACTATCCATCTAGTTATCTAATTTGAATGTTCTTTTTTTTGTTTTTAATTTGTAAAGCTTATTTAGCTTTACAAAATAAAAAAAATCATTCAAATTGGATAACTAGATGGATAGTAAATTTAATTTTTCATTCATGAAATCAACATAGCTTCGGAGGGTCATTTTCATAGCAAAGATCCCATATAACCTAAAATTTTTTAAAAAAAACATTGAGAAAACAGAAAAATCATAAATAACTCAAGATTTACTGTGAGAACCACTGTTCATTTTTAAATAAAAATTTTTAGCATGAAAATTTCAGTTATATAAGTATATTTTAATATCGAGTTTCAATAAAATTAATATGCACTTTCGATCACAGATTTCAGTATGCCCTTCAGAATGTTTTTGCTTATTTTTACGAGTAATAAACCAAAAAAGAAAATCGATTTTAAAATTTGGGTTTAGGTTAGAAACTATAGAAACAGGTTAACACTCATTATTTGTAAAATTTACACTCCCTAATTGGATATTTTCTTAAAAGCTTGTATTACTCACTAAAAATAAGTGCGACTTTCCTGAATGCCAAACTTTGATAATCAATTTTGTTCATTTTGGCCAACCACCCACGCATGACCACCAAGATCATTTACCTAATGTGTATTTAAAATTTTGATTACAGAATTCTGATGATTTACAAGTTTATTTTTTAATTTTAGAACATTGATAAAAAACTGATCGAATAAATATTTGTGATTCGATAAGTTTTTAATTTGGAAATGATTAGTATAAATCGTCATTAGTAAACCTTGATTTAGATAGTATTATCATAATCACAGATTATAAAATATTAATTCTTTCAAAAAATGTACAAGAAACTAAATAAGAGGGTTATGATAAAAGAGATTGAATATTATATATGATTTTGGTAATAATTAAAGAAGATAATAGTATAGATTTAATGATAACACTTATTTATAATTATTTGTTCACAGATACAAAACAAGATGTTTAATTTACAACATCTTATTTTGAAATTATGCTTAATACTATTTAAAATGGATAAAGATAATTTTAAACAGTTGGTTATATTATTATATGTAATAATAATAAGACTTGGATAATATTTAAAACATGTGTTATATAATAATTATGATATGTAAAGCATAATTAAGTTATTGTAGAATAGAATTATTTATAAAAAAGTTTTAAAATTTCATTGTTTATTTATTTAAGATTTTTTGTTTTTTAAAACTTTTTTGTCTAGTTAAAAATCTTTTTACTTAGTATAGTTTTATTGTTTATTGTAAACTATAACATAATAATCTTTTTAGCTTAGATATAGGTCTTTTAAGTTTTTTTTTATTACAAAGGTTTTGTAAATAGACTTAGATTCTAATACATGGAATGAATGTCAATTTTGTATAAGTGGATATATTTTTTGTTTCTTTAAAAAGATATTTTAAAGTAATTTTTATTAATAATTAATAAAAACTTAAGAATCTCTTATTATTTTCAATATATTAAAAGATAAACTTTTATACTATAATAATAAGTTAATAATAATTGTAAAGTAATAAAAGATTTCAATATTGTAACCATTATATATAATTTAGTAAGTATCTATTAATAAAGAATAAAATTTTATTTATCAAAAATAATAAAAAAATATAAATTAGTTATTAAAATTTTTAAATATAATTACTAACAATTATTGAATCATTTTTGACATGTATTAATAAAGTATATGCAGCAGAAATCCTTTATAAGTTGATAAAAAAATTAATACATATTTAGCAATAAATAATCTATATAAATTTAAATTATTTCTTTATAAAATTAGTGTCAAAAAAGCATTTTGAAATTTATGCAAAAAGAAAATATATAGTATTGTTATTATAAATATTAAATGAATTAAATCTAAAAGTATATATTTTTTTAAGAATTATAATAATAGGTTTATTTTTTGTATAAAAAATACTATTTATAATTCTATTATAAGTTATATAAGAGATTTAGAAGGAGCAATTTGCTGTAATTAATTTATAGGCCAACTTTTGGTTATAACAGTAATTTATATATAAAAAAAAATTTTAATTAAGATCATTAATGTTGGAATTATCAACAATAATATAAAAAATAAATTAGACTGTAAACTGTAAAAATATAAAATAATTAATGTTGTACAGTAATAAAATTAATAGTTATGCTAATAGGATGTTTGTTAATATAATAAATTAAACATATTTATAGCTCTTATTAAATTTGTATAATTGATATTTTTAAATAATATGATTGGCTAAATTAAAAACCAGATTTACATATTAATTTGCATACTTTATAATTGTATTCTTGATATCAATATATAAATAATAATCCAAATGCATCAAAAAAGTATACTGTTAATCTGTAGTTTTTCCTTTAACTACAGTGATATCAGAAACTGCTTAACTATAGTATGATGACTATAACTTGACAGATTCTATACAAAAGTCTACATAAGACTTAACAAAATACAGAGTGATT